TAATAAAATATAATATAATATAACATTTTAGAAATAAATTTAAAATAATACATATTCTCATTTTGTTCAAAGAAATAATTTAGTGGATCAGAAATAATGAACAGAATAAAATGTTAGATCCATTGAGCACAATGAGCAGTAATAAAGTTACTGACTGTACTTGATTACTTTAATACTCTCACTGTAGTGGACCTGAGTACTGCTGGTTCTACTGGGCGGTACCGGGCCGTACTCGGAGTGAACTGGTTCTACTGGGCGGTACCGGGCCGTACTCGGAGTGAACTGGGGTTATAGATTATAGATTATCGATTATTACTTTATCAATCAACCCAACAGGAAGCTGCTGTTAGGACTGTACATTAACACACTTTCTATCAGATGTTCTGTGACTTCAGGAAGACTCTAAAATATTAAACCCTGACAGAATAACAGAAGAATCGATCCATCGATTCATCGATCAATCGATCTCTCACCGATATCAACAGGCTAGCTTCAGCTAGCTAGCTAACGCTGGCATTAGAGAGCTAACAAGCTAACCGACCGGTTCAGTGATTAACTAACTAATTGATTAACTAATGAACTAATTGATTAACTAATGTTAACTAATTGATTAACTAACGACCGTCGTTAGTGAAACTGAGTCAGAGCTGCGGGAGTTTCTGAGTCTGCAGTGAAACTGAAACATCCCATAATGAGCTCCCGCAGTTAGCCGCCGGCTCAGAGACAGGCCTCAGTGACACTCTCCCGCCAAACGGTGGACCGTTTAAAGTCGGTGCCGCCGGTTACCGGCGGTAACTCCCGTTAACGGAGAGAAAGAGCCGTTACCTGTCTGCTTCTCCCGGACGGACGCCGCCATCTTTGATGTTGTTGGTGGTGACGAAGCGTCTGATGACGTGGCGCGAGCTGCCCCGTCAGAGAGGAGGGAGGCGGGAAGAGGTCTCACTCTGATGATGTTTCCGGAGACAAACACACAGTCAGAGAGAAATTAAAGGTCAAAACCAATCAAACTATCAAAATGTCATCAACGAACCCTCCTAGCATGGAAGCTGACTTTTGTCCACAGTTTCTCACCCCACAAGGCTTTCCTCTGGAATAACAGCATCATAATTAATATTATAAGAAATAAATCCTTATTCTTGCTAAAATGGTTTGAAAGAGGTATCATCCATATCCTCCCAATATGTTGTCTTATAAACGTTTTATATCTGTAACTCTATCCCAATAGAGTTAATTCATCTTATAAAAAGCCACTTGAGTTACAGTGAATATAAACCAAGTCAACCTGAGTGGAACTGAACTCACAGACAGAAAGTGTGATAATAAACATATTTGCCAGTGTTTTCAAGTTTTACTGGAGGTCCCAAATAGAGGACATCACCTGGAGAAGAGCTTCTCCCCCACAAATATTGCATATCTAACAAGGCTAAAGAAGTACATTTTAAAATACTGCATAATATATTCCCAGTTAGTAGTATTATTGCTAAGCTTATAGATGTTTTATTGTGATATATCTAAAAAGTTTTGGAGTGATGTTGAATCTCATTTTTTTGCTGCTGCTAACTCTGTCTACTCTCTTACCCTTAAAGATGTTATTTGCTACTATGGTAACCCAGAAGATAATGCTCTTGAACACCTGATGAACTTTGTTATCCTATATGCAAAATTCTTTATTCACAAACACAAATTCACAAAATCTAAATTTGCTCCTTTTCTCCTGGAACTGAGCTCTTTGCTTAAATCTCTGATTTTGTTGAATAACAAAAAATGTAATACCTTACTGAGTCATTATGAAAACCTTTTACTTCAAGCCCGTTTGAACTATCTATTATATTATTAATTTAAATTATTATTTATTTTTTATTTCTTTAATTTGTAAATCTTTGATTTGTTTATTATTTATGTCACCAATGTGCTGATTGTTATTGTTTACCTTGTAGTTTTTGTACATTTAAATTTTATTTAAATTTAAAAAAAACCGTCAGTCAGAGAGGAGGGAAGCAGGAGGAGGTCTCACTCTGCCACAGTTTTAAGAAACCAACAAGGAAATAAAGTTGTAATTATAATAGTATAATAGTTATAATTTAAATAATTAGTCAAAGTGGTAATTCTGTAGTAAACACAAATTAACAGCAATATGTACGTAAAGTGTAAATATGTCATTTTTAGTATTGAACTATCTATTATAAATATAGTTTCAGTTTGCAATGATTGCCATGTATTAACTGTATTAACTGTATTAACTGTATTTACTGTATTAACTGTATTTACTGTATTTACTGTATTAACTGTATTTATTGTATTTACTGTATTAACTGTATTTACTGTATTAACTGTTCTGTGGTCAGGTTTTGAGTCTACCTTCCAGGGACAAATGAGCTGTTAGCTAACTCTGGTGCAGTAACTTTAAACTGTGCACTGTCCCTGCAGACATTAACAAAAATTAAATAAAAATAATAAAAAGTCAAGAAAATCAGACAGAAAAGAAATCAGGACAAAAACAGTTTGTTTCTGTGTTTATAATCCACAAGAAGAGAAAATAGAGGCTGTAAAATAAGCATTCAGTAAACAGGAAGGAAACCCAAAAAGATAAATAACAAGAAGGAAAAGGTTCAACAGAAATCAACTCAGGAAAATACAATTACCTGAAAAACTGAACAGACAGAAAGAAAAAGACGTCAGTATTAAACTGATTCTGCACGTTCTGCAGCTGCAACACGAAGTGAACAGATTCTTACACTTTGTAACCAAATCTCTTCATTTTACCAATTAATAATGACATAATTATGTTTTTTCAATGGGATTTTAAGGCTATACTGAATAAATGACTGGGCTGTAATACATTGCAGTGTTTCTAACAGTTTAAGTTTATAAAATGAGACCCATCCATTCGTTAAATCTCCAGCAAAATGTTCTTACCCCTAAAAACTGTGGAGATAATCACTTAAAAGATCATACTGCATTATAATCCATTCATTTACACATTTATCCACCAAAAAGTTAAGATGAACCCTGAATTTGCCACTTAAATGAAAGTGTGAGGTTATGTGTGTGTCTTACACACACTGCTCATTCACAAAAGAAAAGAAAACATGACAGACAGAAAATCTCAGCATCAATAAAGGCTTAAAAAACAAAGTATGTGCAATAAAAAAGTAGCTCTTATAAAATCAGCACCATCATTTTTAAACTAGAAAACATAGAAAGATCCTCACATCACAACTGAGCTGAATGTTTGAGGAAAGAGCAAAAAAAAGGTTTAAAAAAGGCAAATTTAAGAGGATTTGCTTTGAAGTTTCTCAGTTTCAGTTCAGCTTCGCTTTGGCTTCACTATGGAAATATTTCATGTATCAGCTTCATTAACGAGTGAGACGACAGCACCAGGCAGGGGAAGATATTATCACGCTAATGCTCAGATATACAGATATACACATTGTTAAAATGACACAAAAACACACTGATGACAGACAGGAAGCTGCTCAACCTTGTGTTGTGAGGATACGACGGACAACGAGCCTTCAGCCTCGCTCACAATGAATCAGTTGACCATTAACTAACAAATGTCTACACTTTTCTCCTAAATGACGGTAAATCCCAAACCTCCTCTGGCTATGGTTTCTTATTATATTAATGTTAAAACGAGCTCTGTTTCATTAATTAATAGAGATTCCATCGAAAACAACGTGTTACAGGTGGAGCTTTGCATTAGATCCTGTACAGAATAACGGACTGAAAAACCTGCCTCAGTCGACCCCAAACGAGTAGTGTAATTAATTACTTTCTACTGAGAGTAATCAAGTAATTACACATATTACTTATTTGGAGTAAGGACCCAACAGCGAAGGTCCTGAGGAATATCATAAACAATTTAAAAACAGAGATGGCTGGATGTGATGAAGTAACAAGCAGCTGAGATAAAGCAGCTGCTGATATTCTGTGTCTGCTCATCAAACCTCGTCCTCAGACAGAGACTGTATCCGCTCACGGGAACGTAGACGCATCGCTACAGGAGCAGAAACGCCTCGACGAAGAGCGCTGGGGAAGAACAGCTGGAGCGAGAACCAATTCACTATACCTGTACAAAAACTAACTGAACAGCTGTTCTAGGAAATGACTGAACCCTTTTTAAAGAGGTGGAACTATAAAGCTCTTCAGCAGGAACCAATGGGATTGGAGCTGAGAGTCTCAGACAGGAAGTCACTGAGAGACGCAACATGAGAAAATATAGAATATAACAAGACCCAACTGATAGAGAAATAATAAGAATGATGGCGGTTGCATTAAATCATCCTGCTCATTGCAACAGAATAACAATAATAATAATACAAATAATAATAATAACAATAACAATAACAATAATATATCTGCAGATGAGAACTCTGATGGCACTGACAGGTCTTTACACACTGGGGTTGTTTCTTGCGATGAATTTGAACGTCAATATTTTGTTGTTTTGTCACAATGGCTTTAATATTACGCAGCGAGAGAAAGTAACTGTGTTTGTTCGATTGTTCGGAGCTTTCACACCGTCGATAAGAGAATCAGTCACATTGTGAGGAACCCATCGGGTTGTGGAGTCCCGTTTTGAAGCCTCCAGTTTGGACTTTATGGTCATTGCCATGATAGTTAGTCGGAACCAGCGGAGGTCACGTACCGCGAGTTGAGCTGCTCTCATTGGCTGCTCAGTTTCGACTCGTCCGTAGCAGGAAGTCATTTCTCCATAAGACTGTACGGTGTCAGTTTATATTGCAGCCAATGGAGCTCCCCCTGCTGGACATTACATAGAAAGCAGGTTTAAGATACTTCTGTGGTGGCATTTGACGTCAGCTTGCTCTTGTGGTGAGCGGCATCGTTCCCACCACAGCCGATGTTTCCACTGTGGTCTCAGGTGAATTAACTACACATTCACTCTAAATCCTCAAGTTCAAGTTCAAGTAGAATTTATTTTACAGAAAATTCATCTTCTAGTGAAAGTGTTGGTTGAAAGTACGATTAGCTTCGCTGTGCAGGTATTAATCAACCACAGCAGCAGATCTGATCATTAATTAAAGCTGTTTGTATGTAAATGTATTCAGGTTTACGCAGGCGATCTGAGTGAGTAAAATGTTTCAGGATATTTGATCATTTTAAATCATTTCCAGGTCTTTCAATGACTACATATCTAGGCCCTAAATTTCCAGGTTTTCCAGGTGGCTGTTTTCAGTAACCAGGCTTCATTCAGCTCCACCTCGTTGACCATGTTTGGAGTCCGGACTGCTAAGATGGCGACAGCCAGATTTGACCACACTGAGCTTCACAGCCCTGTGGGGGGGGGGTCACAGAGACTGTTCTAATGATAAAGTGTGTGGTGCAACTTCAGGTGTGTGTGGGTTTCATTATTTATTTTGAATGTGTCGGTGTGCGTATTTCCTGTCCATTATCCGTCTCGCTCCCGCTGTGTAAAGACCTTTAATCGTCACCTGCCTCGTTTAGAAACTGATTTCTTTTTTTAAAAAATATCTTTGAATGTAAATCCTAAAATACTTCCTGCAACGTCCTCCGCTAACTCTCTGTGGGGAGGAGGTGCACGTGGTGGCTGATGGCCTGCTCCATGGAGCTTTTGAAGGCCTGGTAGGAGGAGGTGACAGGCAGCAGGAGGTGTTTGGAGTTGGGCTCCCTCTGAGGGAAGAGCCCCTCGTCCCTCCACTCCGCCGTCTGTGGTCTGACTTTTCCTCGCTTTCCTCCTCTTCCTCTTCCTCCCCGCTCCTCCTGCTCAGCTCCTGGTGGGGAGGAGGTGACAGGGTGGAGGAAAGAAATGGTGGGCGGGGGGAGGAGGCCAGCGGCTGGGACCTCCTCAGCTCCTGTGGCGAAGTGAAGGAGGTCCTGTAGGGAGATGGAGCTCCTCCCAACTGAGGAGAGGGGGAAGAGGAAACAAGAGAGGAGGAGAGAAGGAAAAGAGATATAGGAGACGGGAGGAGAGAAGTAGAGAAGAGGAGTTTAGTAGGAGTGTAAACATTGACACATTTTTGACAAATGAAAGATGAAAAAGAAAGTTTTGACAAATCTAAATTTGAATTCTTTACATGAACGACAGAAACACAATAATTATATAGTTCCTAGTTTCAAAGAGAAAAACATTCAGTTTCCATTTCCACCAAAGAGCTTTTTGTCCCTGCTCAGCTTCCATCCTTCCTGCTGCTGTTATAAACTTCATGTTTAATTTTTTTTTACGGTTTACATCTGAAGAGCTGAATCGTCTAGAAAAGGACTTCCTGTACCTTCACACTCCAGCAGGAAGTGTCTCCAGAAGGTGACGACGGGCGTCTCTCTGTCCAGTCTGTCGTCCTGCTGCGAGAACTCCACAGTGAAGAGCTGACCGACCGTCTGAGCCGAGAGCCGAACCGCCGCTTCACAGAAAACGCTGCAGAACGCCGACGGGAAGAGCTGCACCTGGATTAAAGGACAGTCGCTGTGAGTGCTGGGAAATCTGATAAATCTACAGTGGGTTCAAAACTGGAAACTTTAAATCACCTGATCAAAGACGCCCAACGTCCGCAGACCCTCCCGAAACCTGGAGGACGAGTTAGAGCAGTTGAGCAAACCTCGGTCAACATGCTATGTGCTAGACATTTAAAGACGGTTCAGTCTCTGCTCACACACACTGATTATATATGTCTCTCTGTGTGTCTCTACCTCTGCAGTGGAAGCTGCATCCTGGTGATCAGAGTGAAGCTGACCAGATCTTCCACCAGAACATCTCTCTCCTTCAGGCTGCTGATTGGTCGGTTGCAGCCGGCCAGCTCCAGGTACTCCCAACTAGCCGCCGTGACTTCTTTCAGCTCGTCTAAAGACTTTGCCTTCGCAATCTAAAATCAGCCATTGAATCAATATTCTAGCTGCGGTTATAAGAATGTAATGCTGTTAGTATTGTCTGTAAGGTTTGTTTCTTTTACTCACCCTGCTGACTTGGCGGGTGGAGTGTGTGTCCGGGGTCATGTGTGCGACGGTGAGCGGCCAGTTGGGCGGAAAGTTGAACAGACACTGGTAGAGAGCACGAGAGAAGAAGCCAACAGGAGGACCGCCGTGGACCAGAGAGAGAGCGAGCAGGCAGCCGACGTCAAAGTACAGGTCCTCACGCAGAGCTACACACACACACACACACACACACACACACACACACACACACACACACACACACACAGAATTATTAAATCATTAATCAATCTAATAACGTCAGACAATCTGATCAAACTCCCTTTAAGAAATATCACATTTTAACAATTCCTAACGTGTTCGTAACAACACGTAACTCTAGAAACACGAGCTAAAGGCCGTCATATGTCCACAGTCTGACTGTCAATACAGGATCAATATCATCCATAAAGATACAGTGTATACTGATCAATATCATCCATAAAGATACAGTGTATACTGATCAATATCATCCATAAATATGATAATAATAATAATAATAATAATAATAATAATAATAATAATAAAATAATGATTCATACCCTGAGAGTCCAGTGCCAGGTTCTTGGATCCTTCTGGACCCTCGAACACCACAGAGTCCTGGATCTGCTGCAACAGCAGCTTCAGGAAGCCCTGCCTGGCTGAGTCGCTGTCCTGGAGGCTGCTGGGAAACGAAGTCCGCTGGTGGTCTTTGAACCTGGTCAGAGCAGATATTGCTGATAATGAGGGGACTGGATGAAGATGAAGAGGACGGTGAGTTTCTCGTCCACTCACCTGACAGACAGAGTGTGCGTGGGGTCGAAGTCGGTCCTCCTCACCAGCTCCACACCGGCAGCCAGAGCCCGATCCCTGCGCACCTCCACCTGGACACTGAGGGGGCGGAGCTGAGCAGCCAACGCCTGCAGCAAGTCCTCAGGTGACCCAGATCCTACAGGTAACGACGGTCTGAGAGAGGGAGACAGACAGAGAGAGAGAGAGTGTGAGACAGAGAGAGGCAGAGAGAGACAGAGAGAGTGAGACAGAGAGAGAGAGAGAGAGGCAGAGAGAGACAGAGAGAGAGACAGAGAGAGAACAGAGAGAGAGAGACAGAGAGAGAGAGAGACAGAGGTGAGACAGAGAGAGGCAGAGAGAGACAGAGAGAGAGACAGAGTGTGAGACAGAGAGAGACAGAGAGAGAGGCAGAGAGAGAGAGAGACAGACAGAGAGAGAGAGACAGACAGAACCTCTTACAGCTGACGGAGGAGAGGTGCGTTAGGTTTGTGTACCTTTTACAGCTGACGGAGGAGTGGATGGGGGACAGGTGGCGTTTGGACAGCAGACTCCTCCTCTGACCTCCCTGAGGAGACGCAACCAGGGAAGCTGGAGGAGACGAGAACGTGGTTCACATAAAAAAAACTATTCAAACATAATATCAATAACTTTAACAATAACAGTCAACTTAAACTAAATATTCCTTAGTTTTATTGATTATTGATTATATATACGTCGGTTATATGATTGATTATAAAACTATAGATTTGAAATATTTCTCAATTTGTCAAAATGTTATTTGAATGTATTCAATAGAGTTGTGAATAAGTCAGTGATCACAAAGAGATACTGATGAAATGTGTTTTTAAATGAGGAAGTTTGATCCAATCGATCAATCAGACGATCAATGACTCAGACCTTTCCCGTCCGTAGTCTGCGTGCAGTCGCTGCAGGCCCAGTCGCTGGTGTTCAACTTCAGCCCAGAACATTTCCTGTGAGTCCCTCTGGATCCACACAGCCGGCAGCGAATCACCTCAAACCAACTGACACAAACAACAACAACAACAACAACGATGAGGTCACAACACAGATTCAGCCTATCTCTATCTAATCTAATAAAGATCGCAGTCCGCTGCGTCGACGGCGTCTAAAGTCGGAACCACAACATAAACACACTGAGTAGAGGGTTAGCAACAGCTAGCTGTACGCTGTACCCGGTTTTGGCGGAGTGTGAGCGTCCGTCGGTGCAGAGGCAGGCGAGAGCGTCACAGCGGTTATAAACCTCCAGCAGCTCTGAATACGCGTTCGCCTCCAACTCCCATGAAGCATCTCTGCAGACAAGAACACAGTGAATTCATTCTACCCACAATCCCTTGCGTTGTCTGTGCAGCCCGCTCCCGTAGTCACGGTGACGTTACCTCTCGGGGATGTATATTCCCATCCTGAGCATCTCCTCCTGGAAGTCGTCCTTGTTGTTACAGAGAGTGCACCTGAAGAAGAAGAGGCCGGCGCTGTGGGCCTGACGCTGACACACAAACACACACAGGTCAACGGAGCCGCACACACCTGGAGACAAACATCTGTACAGCTGCTGGTTGACAGTGAGCGGCGCTACCTGCACGCAGTCTCTGTGGAACCAGCTGGCGTTGCAGGACGGACACTTGAGGACAGAGTAGCAGAGGACGGGGTCGATGGCGTCCAAACAGACGGAGCAGGACTGAGGCAGGCTGAGGTCTAAACCCACACACAGAGACTGGGTGGGACTGTGGTCCGGACAGTAAGACCTGGACACACAGACGAGGGTTTCAGGTTGACAGTGCAGCCACAGAACAAACAAACTGTTTACTGTTTATTGTTTACTGTTTATTGTTTATTGGGCACTCACGGGAAGAGTCCGGTAAACTGAGAGATGAACTTCTGTTTCCTCCCGCAGGGGAAGTGGATCGTCTTCCTGCAGCTCCGAACGTTACAGCCGACACACGCTCCCTTCTTCTTACAGCAGCAACACGTCTGAGTAAACAACAACAGACAGTAAACAACAACTGACAGTAAACAACAACACCACAGTAAAAAAACAACACCACAGCAAAACAACAACACCACAGTAAACAACAACACCACAGTAAAACAACAACACCACAGTAAACAACACCACAGTAAACAACAACACCACAGTAAAACAACAACACCACAGTAAACAACAACACCACAGTAAAACAACAACACCACAGTAAACAACACCACAGTAAACAACAACACCACAGTAAAACAACAACACCACAGTAAAACAACAACACCACAG